TTCAAAGACTTTGTAGTCAATAATTCGTTGATTCTTAAAATCCAATACCAATAACCATGTTGATATACTCTCAATCATGGTTTAAAAAAGAGGTAGTGAGGCGCATGTAGTATGTCTCGAGGCGGTATTTTTGAGGCTAAAAATATGAGGCACACGCCTTTAAATTTGAGGCACGCACTTCATTTAAAATTTGATCTTTCAATTGTATGAAAAGAAATCAGAAAATGCCCTTCTTAAAAAAGAAAATGTCCCATTTAAAAAGGCATTTTGGGCCCAAACAAAACAATAAAATACCTAGAAAACTAAACAACAACCAGAAATTAGAGGGAAGGAAAAAGTCACATTGCAATTGGTGGATGAGGAAGATGATTTTGTAAAAATTGAGAGTAGCGAAGATGAAGATGATGGAGAAATTAAATATGATGATGATTCTATTAACGATGCTAATAATAGTGATGATAGTATAGACTATTAAGCTTTTTTTTAGTTTAAACTGCTTCTTTTTTTCCATTGCAAATGTAGTGATTTCTAACTTCTGTAATGTTTTTTTTTTTTGCTAAACATTTTCTTTTTTTTAGGTGGACTATATCTCAATATGCTAATAACTATATATCCTATTTACTATATGTTTCAACTTTTATTTTTTTGTATTATTTTATAATTCTTTTACTTAGATTTTTTAGTTTTTGTGAGGCTTACATCTCGCCTCATAAACAAAAACCGTCTCAATACTTAGTTTCGCCTTTTAAACCCTGCTCTCAATTAAAATCCAATACCAACTAATAACCATGTTGATATACTCTCAATTAAATTTTAATTAATTTAAAAACCAAATATCCGGACATGGATTCTAAATCTTCTTTTATTGAAAAACCCCTACAACCTAGACTCTAGTTTATTAGAATCACAAAATGACCCGTAAACTATTAAGAACAACAAAGACTCTATTTTTACTAAAAGAGAGGAAATAAAATTTAAACAAAAGTTGAATCTTTGCATCCATCTTCGTCATTCTACCAGG